AAACCCTAAACCCCAAAACCCTAAACCCCAAAGCCCTAAACCCTAAACCCTACACCCCAAACCCTATACCCTAATGTGTGTGTGTGTTGTTCTGGAGGTCCGCCGACAGCGTCTCTCCGCGCTGAGCGCCATCTCCGGAAGTTTCAAGGAGCCAAACTCAAAGGGGGTTCAGGGTTTAGGGATTAGTTTAGGGATGAGGGCCGTTTAGGATTTTCATAGGGTTTAGGGTTTAGGGTGTTTAGGGTTTAGGGTTGAGTCTTTATAGGGTTTAGGGTTTAGGGGCAGAGCATAAGGTTGAAAGGCTTCATTGAGGCTTCAAGGAACAGGGGTTTAGGGTTAAGGGCTTCGGCGTCTTCGGGTTTTGGGGTGTGTGTGCCTTGAGCAACCTGGGTCGCACAACCAGTATGGCGAGGTTTCGGGCCCAGAGGTCTTTTTCCAAGACTCTGGTCTGCAGCACAAAGGTCTCAGGTTCCCAGGCTGTGCGCTGGGTTTAGGGTTGGGCGTTTTGGCTTATGGCATTTTCGAAGGATGACACTGCCCCTATAGTGTAGGTGCTCCCAGAGACCGAACACCCTTAACCTTCGGCTGCTGAGTAGGCAACCTTCGAATTCTTTTGGGCAATTTTGGGCTCCCTTAACACACACACAAAGGCCAGCTTCGCCCCGAAGTAAACCCGAAACTTCCCCTACACCCTAAACCCTCAACCTGAAACCCTAAACCCGAAACCCTAACCCTAAACCCTAAACCCTCAACCTGAAACCCTAAACCCGAAACCCTAACCCTAAACCCTAAACCCTAAACACTAAACCCTAAACCAAGCCCTGAACCTTCGGAGGTGGCGTTGGGTGGCTCGCGCCGCTTCGAGGCTTTTTTTTTTTCCTCTCAGTCCTCTTTGGGAGCCTTGAGCCCAAAATTCGGGTTTTCAGGGCTTTTGGGTCTTCAGGGCTTTTAGTGTTTTCAGGGTTTTGGGTCTTCAGTGCTTTTGAGTGTTTTGCAGGGCTTTTGGTGGCTCCAGGGTGTTTGGAGTTTTTGGGGTTTCTGGGCTTTCTAGGGTGGCCACAACGTGGGAGCCTTGACGTTGAGTGCCTTTTGTCACTTCTGATCGGGCTTCAAGCACCTGGCAAACCCTTCTGAACCCCAATGCCTGAACCCGTGAAACCCTACACTTCACGCAGAAGCTTTAGAGCGTATTTGGGTTTGAAGTTTTTTGGACTTTAGGACTGTGTACTTTCAAAGGTCCATCTGCGTTCAACGGCTGGGGGCTCTGAACTTGGGCTGTTTCCCTTATACTAGCAGTCCTTGATAGGGATTCCCTATTAAGGAGCTGTTAGTAGAAGGGGGAACATCCCAAGTTGTGAGCCCTCTAGAAGAGTGCCTTGCTAGAGACCTTGAAGACCGAAGACCGCTGCAGCAGCGAGAGGCTGCTCCCTACGAGGAGTTGTTTATGTGGAGATGGCCACTTTTCTGCATCAGGCTTCCGCCCCCACTTTGTGGATCCTAGGTAGGATAAGGGAGACCCTTAAAAGGGAACCCCTTCTTAACCCTCTTCTGGCTCTCTTAGACAGGGGCCTTATTCAGAGGTCTATATCCCCAAGGGTCCCCCTAATCCTATCCCCTAGTGGAGTCTCAGAATAGGGGGAGCTGCGGTTTTTGTTTTGGGGGTGGGGGTGTAAGCAAAAGATTCCCTTACGAAGGACATGAGAGGCTTCAGGAGTGGTCTATAGAGCTTCATGCAGTTTTTTAAGGGTTGGTTCCCGTTACAAACCCAAAAAACCCAAGCCCCTTGCAAAATCCATAAAACCAAAGCAATACGCACAGGCTCATGGCAGAAAACCCTAGTTAGAACGCACTTTCCCTAACGCCCGAAGCCCTGGACGCACAATCTTTGGCCCAAAGTCCGAGAATCCTCCTACACCTCTGAACCTGAACCTTGATCCCTAAACATTGGGGTTTATAGGGTTTAAATCCGAACTCCTCAGACCCTAAAACCCTAAACCCTTGCAACTCCCTTGCAAAGTCCCTAGGAATTGCCCCTGAAACCCTACGTCCAAATCCCTGAAAAGCCCCCAAGCCCCAAAACCCCCAATCCTTAACAGTGCCCGAGCCCCGAACCCCAAGCCCTTAAATCTCCTCCTCTGAAGCCACAGACCCTTGGACCTATAGCCCCCTTATGAACCCATAAGTCCTAAACCCTAAACCCTAAACCCTAAACCCTAAACCCTAAACCCTAAACCCTAAACCCGAGGCCTCATGGACAGGGCTTCCTCAACAGCCGGCCGATAGCCTCTGTGGGCCTCTTGGGAGTATAGTCTGTGTCATGATATGTATGTATATATATATATACAGATATTATATATATATATACACATTATATGTAGATTATAATGTATATATATATATATATTATGCAAGAGTGCAGATGTGGTCCCCGCCCTCAATGGACCAACCTCGAATGCAAACAACGCGTGTGTCCGCTCCAAATGCTACTGCACCCACTGTATTCCCAAGCCATTATCTTTGTCATGTTTCTGGTAAACCATGATGATTCTTATTCTGAACGTACAGCTCATGTTTCACAACTCTTGCTTCGCACTTCTCAGTTCTCAGTTCTTATTTCTTCACACGCCGGCGACTTGACTTGAGTTGGGGGTTTAGGGTTTAGGGTTTAGGGTTTAGGGTTTAGGGTTTAGGGTTTAGGGTTTAGGGTTTAGGGGGCCCAGGTCTCCGAGCTTCAGGCGTTGCTGGACTATGTGCACTGGCCCCAGGTGGGGCTGACCGAAGCCATGGGCCTGCTTAAGGGTTTAGGGTTTGGGGTTTAGGGTTTAGGGTTGAGGGTTTAGGGCCAGGGTTTAGGGTTTAGGGGTTTAGGGGTTTAGGGTTGAGGTTTGAGGAGTTGAGGGTTGAGGATTTCACCACCCCTCGTCGCTCATTTTGGGTTTTTTTGTTAACAGAGATTTGCTGGGTATGGGTCTAGGTTTTCAGGTCGGCCCCATACCCCTAAACCCTACACCCTAAACCCTAAACCCTAAACGGGTTTAGGATGTCTCCTCTCGCCCCGGTGGTTCTCAGCTGCCCCAGCCCAGGCCTCCTGGCTTCGAGTCGGCCCGGCGGCCCAATCCTATATCCCCCTCGGGAATGTTTCTTTATTTTTGTTACCCCAAAAGGATAATAACACATATATATATATATACATATATATATATATATTTTTTTTTAAAGGTTTTGAGGTGAGTGTAGAATTGAATTCTGGTGCAAGGCTCGAGGCTAGGTAGGCCCTTGGGTTTAGGGTTTATGGATTTAGGGGTTTTAGGGTGTAGGGTTTGCTGTTTAGTTGCTTTTAATGATTCCAAGGGGGCCAAGTACCAAAAGATGGGGAACCACACACGTTCTGTACTTGAAGATGATTTTCCCTTATTGGGTTTAAGAGGATCCTACTCAGGAATATGTTTCAGAGGGTTTTAAGGGCCATCCTAGCAGGGTTCACATGGCCTTTTTTTCAAGGGTTCCAGGAGGCAAACTACCAAATCTGGGGAAAGCCTGCGCTCTTTCTCATAATGACTGGCTTCCATGTTAGTGAGGGGCCGGGAGAGTGGGGGGTGGGTAATTATTTGGTAGTAGGGGGAAGGGTGGATGATCATGGCCCCGACTTCTTGAACTCTTGTAGATGCTTGACATCGTTATCGTCACTCTCATTGGCTAGCATCGCTGCCTAATCCCTAAACCCTAAACCCTACGCCCTAAACCCCAAACCCTAAACCTAAACCCGAAACCCTAAACCCTGAACCCTAGTCTCCCAACAAAGCTCTCCTCCTCGGAGCCCAAAAGCCCAACAACCAGCACGAGGACGCGGAGCCATCCTTTAACAAGGCGCCCCTCGCTTGTAGTGAGGTCGGCTTCAATTTGGGGGCCCTCAACTTGTGGGGGGGCCCTAAACCCCAAACCCTAAACCCTAAACCCAGTAGTGCAGGTTGCGCGCAAGGAGGGGTTATGTTTTCTGGGGTTCAGAACTCTAAGCCCCTAATCCGAACTAAGGCCAAGAATTCAGACCTCCAACCTTCCCTTAAGCTTTCAGAACCTTAGTTTCGGTGTAAGGGGGCTCAGGAGATTGAAGACGCTCAAGGGGACCCTACCCCGGCCCCGCACCCCCCCACACCCCCCCACACCCCCCCACACCCCCCCACACCCCCCCACACCCCCCCACACCCCCCCCCCACACCCCCCCACCCCCCCCCCACCCCCCCCCCACACCCCCCCACACCCCCCCACACCCGGTTGTCTGGTACAGGAGTGAAAGATGGGAATTTGAAAGCTCATGGTCACCCCGGTTCTACCCCAACTAGAGGCGAATCCCTTTTAAACGGATCCCTGAAAATGGTACTTTTGAAATCCCTAAACCCTAAACCCTAAACCCTAAACCCTAAACCCTAAACCCTAAACCCTAAACCCTAAACCCTAAACCCTAAACACTAGCAGCTAGATGATGAGCGCGCTGAGTCAGGCTCCTCTCCGAGTCGTCCTCTGCCCTGGCCAGGCTGTGTGCAACATGCAGTTTAAAGTAGGGTTTAGGGTTTAGTGTTTGTTTAGGGTTTAGGGTTTAGGGTTTAGGGTTTAGGGTTTAGGGTTTAGGGTTTAGGGTTTAGGGTTTAGGGTTTAGGGTTTAGGGTTTAGGGTTTAGGGGTCCCAAAAACATGCTGCTGCTATACCCCTGTAAACCTTAACACAACCTGAGACCGCAGGCCTGAAACCCTACGCCCTTAAGCCCAGCCCCAAAATTAGTACCCTGAGCCTTCGAGCCTACACCCTGAACCCAAAGCTCTGTGCCCTAAACTTATAAGAGTATTCTTATGAAGAGCATGACCGCGCCATCTGCAGAACTCCCTTCCAACCCCTATAGACAACGCCAAATACCCATTTGAATCAAATCCCTTTCTTAAACTCCGGTCTTAGGGTTCTCCCAAGAATCCTTGATAATCCTGGCATTTTCTGTCAGGGGCTGGAAGATGGACCTCTTGGCCTGGCGCCGAGCAGCCTTCGGGGACTCAGGATGCCTTCATGTGCCCCTGTCATCTTCGCAGATGATTCACGTGTGAGTCGGTTTAGGAGGGTTTATGCAGGCCTTTTATGCTTTAGCTTGTTCGGCTTTTGCCTTTTTTTTGTGTTTTGATTGTAGGTGTGGGGGCGAGTCACTACTGGATTCTATGCTCTAGTGAACTTCGCCACTGACGGTGTTGTTGGCGGTGATCATTGTGCCGTTTGCAAACACAAAGGCCCCAGAGTTTCTGAGCGAAGCACTTGAAGGTGGTAGTGGTGGGATGACGATGGTGATGCTTAGCACCAGCTGGGCTAGTAAGAAATGATCGTACCATTGATAATGATGGCAGTAGCAGTCTTAAGCGCAATCATTTTTGTACCAGTGCCGTGGTTATCATCAGAATCACTTTTGGCATTCGGTGTCGGGGAGGTAGCAGCCTTCGGCATTTAGGGTTTAGGGTTTAGGGTTTAGGGTTTAGGGTTTAGGGTTTAGGGTTTAGGGGTAACGGTAGCCTTGCTCCATGAAGAAAGTCTCGGCCAGCAAGGTTGTAAACACATCGGAATAGGCAGGGACAGAAGCCAAAAACCCTAAACCCGAACCTCTTTCCTCCTAAGCACCGGATTCCCGAAGTAAAACCCTTAAAAGCCTAAACCCCAAACCCAGCCCCAGGCCCCGGTGATTGGACGGCAGTGGCCAAGTACTTCGGCTTGGCAGAAGACAGGCGCAGACTGCGATTGGGCCTGAGTAGGTTACCTATAACCTTTCTGCGCAATATGCGGCTTAGGGTTTAGGGTATAGGGGTTAGGGGTTAGGGTTTCGGGTTTAGGGTTTAGGGTTCAGCCTTTCGCTCAAAGGCTAAGCTTTTCGCCCTGCAAAGCCTGGCCCTGAAGAAAGAATGGCATGGCCCAGCCTGCCAGGGGCTTTAGGGTTATGGCCTCTAGGGCTCATAGGCTCGAAACGGGCTCAGGGGGTTCAGGATTTGGGGTTTGGGGTTTAGGGTTTGGGGTTTAGGGTTTGGGGTTTGTGGTGGGCCTTCGGGGTGTAAGGGCTCGTTTTCTTTCGAATTGTTGAAGTAGAAAGGTAAGCGGCAGCTCAAAAGGGAAAGGTGGCGTTCAAGCTTACTTTCATGGGACGATACCTTGGACCCATAAGGTTTTGGGGATCCTTCGCAAAGAGCAACAGCGCCATACTAGGAAAAAAAAAAATATATATATATATGTATGTATATATATATATATATATTGCGAGGACACCTTAAGGGGCACAACCTTACTGGCACGAGTCTCATGCCCTTGAGACTTGAAACACTAGGAGGCCTTTGACTGACACTTGTCTAGGCAACATGCAGGATTGGAAACCTGTACCCTAAACCCTAAACCCTAAACCCTAAACCCTAAACCCTAAACCCTAAACCTCAAACCCTAGAAGAGACCCCTGCCCTGACAGGCCGCGGGGCAGCTATCGGGGCGCCCTGCTCAGATACAAACCGGGCTACCTCAAGCCTTGAAAACACTCAGAGCAGCGGTCTTAGTTTAGGGTTTAGGGTTTAGGGTTTAGGGTTTAGGGTTTAGGGTTTAGGGTTTAGGGTTTAGGGTTTAGGGCTTACGGTTCGGGTTTAGGGTTTAGGGTTTAGGGTTTTTTTATAGTCCCCCAAAGTCTAGGTTTCTGTTAAGCAACTGAAATGAGAAGATACCATCAGATGGAGAAAGTAACTGGCACGGTTTCCTTATGTTGGGTAACTCTGTTTAAGTTCTTTAGCACCAACCCCGCAAGGGCATGACATTGTGAAGGTGCATTCCAGGTATAGGTGTTGCAGAATCCTTGGACATTTTGGCGCTGTAGGGGCCTAGGGGTCCTCAGTGCTATGGGTGCAGAGAAGGTGGCAGTTGGTGCCTCGGAAGGCTTATAGGAGCTTAAGGGCTTCTGGTCTGGGGTTGTTGGAGGGTTCAATGATATGTCAGGTCAGGGGCTGAAGGTTTGTGGACATCTTCAAGGGACCTGGGGCAGGGGCAGCGGAATCAAGATTCTCTATAACATAGCCAGGCTTGCACGCTATTCACCTCCCTAGGATGGGTTCCACGAAGATTTCGCGACCTCAAACCCTACACCCTAAACGACACCTGCACGTCTCAAGAACTAAGGTGTGATTCGCCTCTGGTGGCGTGACTTGGTCCTTTTCCTTGCCCGGCGCTCGGCAGAACATGCGCTCTTGGGTCTTACTATTTTTGGGGGCCCAGCGTGGCCGCCGCTTTCTTGCTTCTCAGATACACCAGGAGGTTATTGAAGAATCCCGAACCCTGGTTCTCACTTGGAAGGTGTTTGACCATTCCTTCCAAGTTGGTTTCGAGAGGGAGATCGATCAGAATGCCAGAGATTCTTGATTGGGAGACAAGCTGATGGTTGTCTGTGGTTGGGAACCTTGAATTCGTCTCCATTCCCTCCGCAAACCGTTGCCAATATTGTGGGATTCCGAATCTAAAGAGTACGTATGCTGGTGATCAAGCCGAACAAGAGCCCATGATTTGGAGCAACCACCAGGTTGTTCCAGCCCTCGCCTCATGTCACAGACCAGGATGGGCTATTCATACCCTACAATCCCTTAAAAGGCCCTTTATAGGGTTCATTATGGGGATTTTTTAGGCCTAATACCCCATAATGAACCCTATAAAGGGCCTTTTAAGGGGTTTTTAAGGCCGAATAGCCCATCCTGGGATGGAGGTCGTGGATGCCACGTCTCCGCTGCTGGACGCCGTCGAGCGAGTTCACAGCCGCTTTGGAGGCAGGGCAGGGAAGGGCTGAATGCACCGAAAAGATGCTGATGTTTCCGCACTTGCTCTGTGCTCAAGGATCACCCCCTCGAAGAAACACCCTCAAACAATCAGTATGTGTGGCACAAACTTGTCCAGCTGGTTTGTATGTGGGCTCTGACTCTTGGTTTGAGGCCCAGCCATAAGCCCGGCCAAGGCAAGCAAACATTTCCCAGACTGCCAGCAGCCCAGTGCCGCCGACCCTGTGTTAGGATTGGTACGCCGTATGTGCGTGCGTGCGTGCGTGGGTGGGTGGGTGGGTGTGTGGGTGTGTGTGAGTGATATATACATATAGAATATAAATGTACACATGTATTCTTAGTGTGGTTATCCACTACATAGCTTTATAGTCACACAAGCCAGCGCAATCAAGAACAAACACCTTAACTCTGTGAAAGTTACCCTCACGGCAGCCCAGCTGTTCATCACCCTCAGGCTCGAAGTTGCCCAAGCACCTTACACAGCATGGCCTTTTGCTTTAAGAACCCTAGGTACGCCTTGTGGACATGTCTTATGTTCCCTTAACTCTTGGGTTTTAGAGGATCATGGTGAGGAATCTTGTTCAGAGGGTGTTAAGGGTCATCCTCGAACCCTGATACGAGTTCTTTGAGCCTCGGGGTGAAGTTGAGTGTCTTCGGAATCTTAGGGTCTCATAATGTTGCACCCGCAATATTCTAGGGGGCCGCTATTATGAAAAGTTTTCCGGCTATTCAGGATTTGGACCCTCTGTTTTGGGGGTCCGCTATAATGAAAAGATTTCGGGCCGTGACTGTTTTTTTGGGTGTCAGGAAGGCATAAGCTTCTCGAGAAAGAGAGATACTTGAAGCCTGAAGCCTCGACCTGTCCAGGATCTCCGACAATCTTCTTTTTTCAGGGCGCCTTTTCTTTATAAATTCCTTACTTAAAACTAGATGATTCCATAGGCGAATCATATCCGGAAAGGGGGTACCGTACGGAGGCCTCCGGACACACTTTAATAGGGGCCCGCTATAATGCAAGTCTCCCGGGGCCAGGGGCCCAGTCCTTCGGTTTTCAGGAAGGCATAAGCTTTCTCGAGAAGGAGGGATACTTGAAGCCCTCCTCGACCTGTCCAGGATCTCCGACAATCTTCTTTTTTCAGGGCGCCTTTTCTTTATAAATTCCTTACTTAAAACTAGATGATTCCATAGGCGAATCATATCCGGAAAGGGGGCACCTTACGGAGGCCTCCGGACACACTTTAATACCTTTGTTTGGGGGCCCGCTATAATGCAAGTCTCCCGGGGCCCGGGGCTCAGTCCTTCGGTTTTCAGGAAGGCATAAGCTTTCTCGAGAAGAAGGGATACTTGAAGCCTGAAGCCTCGACTTTTCCAGGGTCGCGGGGTAGCTTAGGGAGGCTCCGGACCCCCCCCCCCCCCGACTGTTTGGGGTCTTTTTTTATTCAGGGTCGCGACTGTTGAGGGGGGGGGGGGGGTAACTTATTAAAGCAGGTCCAACATTAAGGGGCTCATCCCTCCCTCCCAGAAGGTCCCCTGAAGACCGGCTCCCTCCTAAACTCTGCCGGGTTTAGGGTGGCTTAACAAACCCTAAACCCTATAGAATCGAGAAACAAAAAAAAGAACTAAACAGCTCAGGACAGCGCAGCACTTCCGCGTACATGGGGCGGACCCGTCGCTCCCACCACACCGGCCCATTCCGCCTGGAGCCTGCATCCTAGATGCTGCAAGCCTAAGGTTTTGGATCTCTAGGGGGCTCTAAGGTGTGTGGGGGCTTTAAGGGGTTTAGGGTTTTGGGGTTTTAGGGGCTGTGAGTTGTGTGGCTTTAGGGGCTTTAAGGGGTTTAGGGGCGTTAAGGGGGTTGAGGATTTTGGGGCTTTAGGGGCTTCAAGGCAGGGTTAGGGTTTTGGGGCTCTAGGGGCTCTAAGGGGTTTAGGGCTTTGGGGCCTTTAGGGCTTTTAGGGCGTTTAGAATGTCGAGGGTTTAGTGCATTTGCTGGGTACGCTGGGTGCCTCCAAGCTGGGGCTTGTGCTATAAATTGGGATACTCGCTCTTAAACTAAAAGTCCTTAATAGGGATGATAATAGGGGGCGCAACAAGGGGGAACATACCAAGCTATATACTAGGTCCCCTTTTTAGAGAGAGTCCTGTTTGCTTATTAGAGAGGGGTTGGGGGATTGCTTTTCTAAACAGAGCAGGGCCCACGAGGAGTGTTGCAATACCTGGGCACCGATGTCTAGAACCAAAACCCAGTCCCAGAGTATTACAGGTGTGGGGGTCTAGGTCTTGGGGCTTATACACAGCTGTTCAGGCTTCAGGGCAGGGGTCTAGGGTTTAGGGTTTAGGGTTAGCACAAGCACAGAATGACTATATATAGCCTTCATCCCTGAACCCAAAAACCCGCAAATCCGTCTCAGCCGGAGCACAAGATCGCCCGAGGCAGCCTGAGACACGCAAATCCTAAACCCTAAGCCCTAAAACCCGAAGCCTTAACCCGAAATCCCAAACCCTAAGCTGTAAACCCCAAGTCCTAAACCCCAACCCTAAGCCTAAACCCTAAACCCCAAACCCTAAACCCTAAACCCGTAAGAACCCTCACCCCCAAGCCGGAAGCCCGAAACCCCAAATCCTCAGCCTTCCACCCGAAATCCGGCGCCGAGGCCGATGTTGGACCAGCACCGCTAGGCCTTCTTAGTAGCTGAGTGAGCACACTTCAGGGTTTAGGGTTTAGGGTCTAGGGTTTAGGGTTTAGGGTTGCACGTTTAGGGCGACTAGAATTCCCCATAAGAACTGAAAGTTTACACTTTTCTGGTGCTTATGAACTCAGCAGCTTGGCCTCTACCGGGCAGTTCTCTCTAAGGCTTGGTCGCCCAGGTACCCGGGTTTAGGGTTTAGGGTTTAGGGTTTAGGGTTTAGGGTTTAGGGTTTAGGGTTTACCCTTCTCCCTGTCCCTTTTTAAAGTAGCCAACCCAAACAAGGGGTCCCCTTCTTCTACTGTGGTTACCCTTAACCCTAAACCCGTGGTGTGGGGTTGTGGAATCTAGGACATAAGGGCCCGCACCCTAAAATGCCCAGTAGTGCCCCTATCCCCATTTTAGTTTGGTTATTTTATTTTTTTATTTTTTTTTGGGGGGGGGGGGGGGGGGGGGGGGGCGGGGTATTTTGGTTCCCCTACAAACCCCTTTAAACGAAAAACGGCGCCCGTTTAATCCGAGACCTAGAACCCTCAACCCTAAAACCTAATCCCTAAACCCTATCCCTAAATGCGCAGCCTAGAACCCTAAACCCCAAAACCCTAAACCCAAAACCCTAAACCCTAAACCCTAAACCCTAAACCCTAAACCCTAAACCCTAAACCCTAAACCCCAACCTAGAACCCTAAACAACCCTAACCCCTAAACCCCAAATTTCGGGCGTCTTGGTTTCTTTTTTTTAGGGTTCGCCGTGAGCCACAGGCTTAGGGTCCGACTTGAGGGTCCCCGCCGAGGCATCAGCTTCGGGTTTAGGGTTTAGGGTTTAGGGTTTGGGGTTTGGGGTTTAGGATTTAGGGTTTAGGGTATGGGGCTTAGGGCTAGGGTTTAGGATTCGGGGTTTCGGGTATGGGGTTCAGGTTTTGGGGCTTAGGGTTTAGGGTCTGGGGTTAAGGGTTTTGGGCTCAGAAGATCTAACACTCATCGGGTTTATGATTTTTGGGTCTGTGGGGCTGAGATTCAGGTCTTATCGGATTGGTTTAGAACGGCACCATCTATATTCTCTACCACACCTACTGTTGCTAATCAATGCGATTGTTGTTCTTGTTATATGACGATCATCTCCACATATTGCCGCTGTTATGTTTGTGATCGTCATTGATTTACAGCCCATATAGAGGTTTAGGGTTTATGGTTGCCGTAAGATGCTGCGAGGCCTGCGAGGCTAGTCGGTTACTCGGCTACTCCGGACGTAAAGATGCGTTTCTTCCATAGTCTCCTCCTTTTGTAGGGGTCGGAATAATGACTAATAGTATTCCTTCCCCCCCTTTTTAATTATACTATCATAGCGCCCCCCAGCAAACCCTGTTAAAAAAACTGTGCAGCAGGCCCCCATACTAATCAGGCGAGAGTTGCGCGCGGCACTGCGAAAACCAAGGCCGCCGCCAGGTTGTTTGAGAAGACGCGTGAAGCATGAGGTCGAAATTGGAAGTTCTAGCAGTCCTCAATGGGGGGTTCTAATCGGGGGTACGATAATCCCCATTAAGGACTCTAAAGGACTGCTTCTTATAGGGGGGAACATTCCAAACTGGGGTCTATAGGTTAAGAGCTTCAGGCCATCGGAACTGACGGGCTGAGTGTCTGGCAGAATTGCTTTGGTGCTGTTTTCGAATCGTCGGGTCGGGCGCATAGCGCCGGGACACGAGCCGCAACGTGCATTTTGTGTTGCGCTCGGCTTTGACTCTGTAAATGTTTTCATGCCCCCAGCCCCATAAGCGTATACCACATCTTCATTCTAGCCCTGCATTTGGGGATCTCAAAGCCCAAAACCTGAACCCTAAACCACCCAGGGGGCGGGGGGGGGGGTAACCACAACTTAGTCCAAACCCTAGACCTGAAACCTAAACCCTAAACTGCTTGCCTAAGAGCCAGGTCAGGTCTGCGTGGACGCCGACTTGTCCGCCAGGGCCTCGTTCTTGTGCGCCCTATAGGGATCAAATTGCTGAAGGCATCTATCAACCTAAACCCTATAAGCCCTACAAACCATATAAACCCGATGAACCCTTCAAACCCTAGAAACCCCATAAACCCAGTAAATCCCATAAACCCTAGCAACCCTATAAAGCCTATAAGCCCTAAACTAGTGTTGCAGCCCAAAGGTTGGGGCCTTTCTTGACCTTGGACAAAAACCCTCAGCCAGCAAGACTGAGTCGCGCCCTCAACTCCACCCTCCCAAAGCCGCTGGCCCCAAATTCCCTAAACCCGAAACCCGAAACCCTAAACCCTAAACCCTAAACACTAAAACCCTTAAACCCTAAACCCTAAACCCTAAACCCTAAACCCTAACTCCTACTAATCCCCCTCAACTCCTCATATCCGTATGCTCATCACGAACTTCCGAACCCTGAATGCCAAAGGCTGTGCCTGACAGCCAAGCCTCTGACCTCCTTTCGCCGCTTTGGGTTGAGGATTTAGGGTTTAGGGCTTAGGTTTACTTTAGGGTTTGGGGTTTCGGGTTTGGGGTTTAGGGGTTTGATGTCTGGTTTTCAGGAGGTTGGAACTGGGGATGTCCTGTCGGGTTTGGGGTTTAAGGGTTTGAGGGTTAGCAAGATGAGTCTATGGTTAAAGGGTTAGCAATAAACTTGGGGGAGCATTTAGGTTATGGTTAAACAAGACTTATAACCTACTTAGGGGACTTAGGGGGCTTACAAGTACAGTCATAATTGGGGGCTAGAAGTGCCCTGAACCTCCAAGTGGTTCTAGGCGGTTGCATCCAGTTTGCTCAGGCAGTCGCGCAGTGCGCCGCTGGCCAAGTGACTCCCAAGCCTTGGGCAGAGGGGACTCCGAAGCCCGAAACCCTAAACCCTAAACCCTAAACCGGGAGTCTCTGAGAGTCTCAGGCGCCGCCGTTGACGATGTCATTTGCCTGCTCGGTCTGCGATGTGGAGGTACGACGTGTCCTGCAAGCGTAGGGTTTAGGGTTTAGGGTTTAGGGTTTAGGGTTTAGGGTTTAGGGTTTAGGGTTTAGGGGTTTAGGGGTTTAGGGGTTTAGGGGTTTAGGGGTTTAGGGTTTAGGGTTTAGGGTTTTGGGCGGTCAGGGGGGTTTTGAGGATTCAGGGGTTGCGCTGCCGTCGGCCTTGATATCGCTGCCTTCACGGCTAAGTGTTCTTCTTTGCATGTCCTTGTCGTGAAGATGTTTTGCACCGCTGGCTTGGAAAATATATTTCGGAGAGTCCAAAAAGGCCTTCAAACCCTACATGCCCTGACCCTCAGCCCCGAACCCTCAACCCTCTACGAACGAATCGAAATCCCGAGCCCCCTGCAGCCCTTGTTCGACCCTCCCACTCCAAGCCCCTGGCGGTTCAAGCACAGCTTACTGGCGCGACCGCGTGTAGAATCTTGAACTCCAAGAGATCTCAGGGTTTTGCTCGAAGATAGCTTCAATCTGACATGCAGGCTGCATAATAGAGAGAGAGGCAAGATCACAGCCTTCTCTTGGTATCCCAGGGGTGCCCTTTTCTCCTTTTTGTGGTTCAAGGTTCCCTGATTATAAAGCAACCAACCCCAAAAAAGGGTACCCTTATTATACTATGGTTGCTGGGCTGCCAAGTTCTTGAAGATCCCTAAACCCTAAATAAACCCTGAGCCCTGAGCCCTAAACTCTAAACCCTATACCAAGTTCTTGAAGATCGCAGCATCGCCTCTCGGAAGCGGGCCGATGTCGACGCCCGAGGCGGCAGTGGCCCAAGATGAATGGAGTCCGGAAGCGGCCATGCCCTGCATCGGCATCCATGTGCTCCTTGTTGGGATACCTTGTATTCTCCCTTCTTGGGGTCCTCAACCCTAAATCCTAAACCCTAAAACCTAAAACCCAAAACCCTAGCCCTAAACCCCAAAACCCTAGCCCTAAACCCTAAACCCTAAACCCTAAACCCTAAACCCTAAACCCTAAACCCTAAACCCTAAACCCTAAACCCTCCTTAGGAATCTTATTTCAGAGGCCTTTACTGGGCCCACCGAGGCTCCTCCTCAGTGGCCGGAAGGCCTCCCTCGGAGTGGATCCGAGTCAGACTGTGCGCTGTTTGGCTGAGCAGGCGCCTAGGGTTTAGGGTTTAGGGTTTAGGGTTTAGGGTTTAGGTTTAGGGTTTAGGGTTCAGGGTTTAGGGTTTAGGGTTTAGGGGTTAGGGGTTAGGGGTTAGGGGTTAGGGGTTTAGGGTTTAGGGCTTAGGGTTTTGGGGTTTAGGGTTTAGGGTTTAGGGTTTAGGGTTTAGGGTTTAGGGGTTAGGGGTTTAGGGTTTAGGGTTTAGGGTTCAGGGTTTAAGGCTCAGGGTTTGGCTCAGCAGGTGCCGCGGACGGGTGGTGGGCAGGGTGCCTTGCGGTTTAGGGTTTCGGGCTTAGGGTTCGGGGATTAGCGCTTCCAAGCTTAGCGTTCAGGTTTCAGGGTTTACTGCTGTATGGGAAGTCCTCTAAATTAGAGAGCGCCGTTTTTGGGGGTGCAGTACTACATATAGAGGGACCCAAAATTTAAAGGGACCCTACAACTTAATAGAGCTACGCCGAACTCTGTTTCCGAGGAAACTACCCGCATTATTATCAATCTTAGAATCCCCAAGAGTCCTACATGCCATGATGTACCCTACACCCTAAACCCATCTGATCCCCAGAGCCCCACAGCCCCCCACCCCCACCCCCCCTCCCCTCCTAGTCGGAGGTTCATGGGTACTTATAACCTCAATTATTAGTCTACTTATAGCGTACTTTGGGGGAATTAGGGGGGCTTACAAGTACAGTCATAATTGGGGTGCGCACCCAAGTTATTTTATAGACTCTTGGCTGGATGGCAGTTTCAGGGTTCAAAAGCATGAACCCCGAACCCTAAACCCTGAACCCCAACCCCTTTATCATGTCAACGCTACGCGATCCGCCTCGGCCGGGGCCTGCACAGTGGCGAAGCCGTCACGCGCATCCTTTCACTCACGAATTCAGCTTGCGCAAAGAACCATCCCGAACGGGGTAGTTGGGGGGGGGACGGTCCCCACAAACCGGTCGGTGCAAGCAACGGGGGGGTGGGGCGGGGAGGGGGGAGGTGGGTGGGGCTGGGGCCGGGAAGGGCTGTGGCCGAGCCCGAACTCCCACGCTCGGCTCCCGCACACCTGTCGGCTAGGGGGGTGTACCAATTTCAGCCAAAAACAAGTGGTTGGGGAGGGAATGAGAGGTGGGTACCTGCTTTATGCTACCCGGACACCTACTCGGCGGATTTTGTAATTGAATTTTACTTCGTTCATGTTAATTCGTGCACTAGTTTACAAATTAAGCTCGCTCTCTTCATACCTTTAATCCTTTATCACCTTCGTATCTTATGAATGTATCTCGGGTGCTACTGTACTGTAGCTCCTTTCCCCAAACCCTAAACCCCAACCCCCAAACCCCAAACCCTAGCTGAGGGTGCTGCAGGAAAACTCCACTGCCAGGCCCAGTGTGAGCTTGGGGTTGGAATCCGAGCTCTCTGCAAGCCCGGCGGAGACGTGCTGAATCCTGGCATGGTTCGGGGGCTTTTAGGGTTTGTGGGGTTTAGGGTTTCAGGGTTTGTAGGGTTTAGGGTTTTAGATGGGTTTAGATGGTGTCAGATGGCTTCAGATGGTTTGAGATGGCGTGAGATGGTTTAGAGGGTTTTAGGGTTTCGGGCCTAGGTTTGGGGTTTTAGATGGTTTTAGGGTTGGGTTCAGGATACTCAGCACAGTTTTGGAGCTTGTCTAAGACTAGTCAGTTTCAGCTGGAGGAGTAGGATGGAGTTCCAGAATTATGTTACATGCCCTCACATGGTTTAGTTCTGCAGCGGCCTTCTGCGAAGCCCTAAACCCTAAACCCCGAACCCTGAACCCGAATTTCAGGCTTGTATCGACCCTCAACCCTGCACCCAGAGCCGGCAAGGAACGGGTCCAGCACCATCGCAGAGGCTGGCTTGGAAGATGGCGAGGCCTTGACAGGGGTCGTGCGCTCCGCGACGCTCATCACCTCGCCACTTTCGAGCAGCATGGTTTGTGTCCGCGCCGATGGGGCTGCAGTGAGGTGGGGAAAGACGAGCCTCGTCAAGGTGGGGGGTTTTGCCGAGAGTTGGGCGGCGATGCTGCCGCAACTGGGAGATGCGAAGCAGATCTGCCTCTCCTCTGCTGCTGCTGCCGCCGTCTTGGCCGATGGGAGGGTGGCAGCTTGGGGGAGCTCGTTTCAAGGAGGTGTCCTGCAAGGGAAGGCGCTGAACCTCGGGTCTGTGTTGCACCTCACATGCAACACTGGTGCCTTTGCAGCTCTCCGGACCGACGGCACCGTGGTGGCATGGGGCATGCCCACAGCCGGGGGGGACGCTCGCGCCGTTGGCCACATGCTCACAGAAGTGAGGGATGTGGTCGCCTGCGATGGGGCCTTTGCTGCCCTGCGGCGCGATGGCGAGGTGGTGGTGTGGGGGGAGCTGGCACATGCGGCCGAGAGGCTGCGCCATCAGCTACGTGACGTTACACGGGTCTTCTCTGGACTCCGCGCCTTCACTGCATTGCGGCGCGATGGGTCGGCTGTCTCCTTTGGCATGGACGAGGAAGGCCGGTCTCCGGAGAGATTCTGACCTTTTTGCATCATGCCAGCACATCCATCACATGCTATGTATGTATGTATATATATATATATATATCTGTATATATATATATATATATATTATTTTTACATTAATATTTATATTTGTATTTATATTTATACGTATGCAAATATATTTTATATTTTATAGTTTATATTTATATTTCTGTCTATTTTTTATTCTTGTTTATATTTATTTATATTCATGTTTATATTTTTATTTTTTGTATTTATATTTCTATATATTTATATTTATATTGATATTTATATTTTATATTTCATGTTCTATGTTTGATTTATATTTATTGTTTAATGTATTTTGTTTATACACAATTGGATATGTAGAAACATCTCCAAAATACATAAATATCAAAATATACACAAATAAACATAAGTACATATATATATATATGATGCATATAACATCTCCAAACTATATATAATATAACATCTCCAAACCATATTTAATGCATCTACCTATATATATATATATATATATATGTTCTACATAGGCGTGCAATTCTAGGTAAGCAGAATAATGTATAGCCCATCATCAGGTGAAGATTGCTTCTGGGCCCTTGAGGCTCAGGGCATGGACGTGAAGCACGTCGTTTCAAATGCCTCCGCCTTCGCGGCTCTGTACAGCGATGGGCGAGTCGTAACCTGGGGCAACAGTTCCTTAGTAGCTGAATGAGTACACTTTATACATTTTTTGGGATGCTAGATAATTCGCCTATAGAACTGAAAAGGGTGCACCTTGTGGGATACTAGAATTCTCCCACAGAACTGAAAAGTGTACACGTTTTTGGGGGCTTCTGAACTCAGCAACTAAGGTGCCAAAGGCGGTGACAGCAGCAAAGTGGAGAAGAAACTCTGCGAGGTCACGGACTCTCGCTTGCACCGCCGCAAGTGTGGCTGGTTACGGATTCCTTTTGAGCATGAAATTTGCCGGGGCACGATGACCTTAGGACATTGTCGCCACAGAGTATGCCTTTTGTGCATTGCGCGCAGATGGCACGGTGGTCACTTGGGGTTGGGATTCTGCCTCTGCCTCGGACAGTACTGCTGTGCAGCTACTTGGTTGCATTCTGCCTGCAGACCTGTGATGCTTAGGTACACATTTTACAAGGTGTGCGGCTGTCTGGTGCGGAGTAATTACACTTTTTGCTTGGGCGATGAGTAGGAGAGTAATACTTCAACTTCGTTTTACACTATAGATTCCTGATAAACTCTTTCAGAACTAAAGAACCTTTTACCTGCAGAAAGCTCCGCCAGCAACTTCGTGCTGGCGTTGTCCACAGGCCCTCTCTGATCGGAGTATACCGCTTGGCTTCGACTCTTACATCCTTTGCCGCTTTGAGACTTGGCAGCCCCAGTGGTACCCTTTACTTTTTTTTGGGGGTTCTGGGTTCCCTTATAAAGTACCCAATCAAAGCCCTTATTATAATACGGTTTCTGGGTTCCCTGATCAAGTAACCAATCAAAAACAGGGTGCCCTTATTATCGTATGGTTTCTGGGCTACTAAGGAGAAAGGATGGGCGTGTGGTAACCTGGGGAAGCGACCCGGCTGCAATCGAAGGTCTGTTGGGGTAGGAACTTGCTTTTTGCAGCGTGCAGGTTTGTGTGCCAATGTGCAAGTTGAGGCATTTTTAACCCTAAGCCCAAACCCTAAACCCTTTACACCCTAAACCCTAAACCCTGCAGCTGCTGAGGTTACACTGTTCGATTAGACGAATCTAGATTTCATAGCTGCCCGTAAGGTAATCCCACCAGTCTCCGAGTGCCCCTCAGCCTTCACTTAAACACTAAACCCTAAACCCTAAACCCTAAACCCTAAACCCTAGGGTTCATATAGGGGTTCTCGAAACAGGGGCAGGATGTTGAGGTTCTTAGATGGCCTTGAATTCGGGACAGCGCCCCTGCACCTCCTAGGGGCTCGAAGGCTTAGGTTGTTTCAGGGTTTGGGGTTTAGGGTTTAGGGTTTAGGGTTTAGGCTTTAGGGTTTAGGGTTTCGGTTTTGGAGTCCGACATGCAACAGTTCCATCGGCCCGGAACGGTGGCTCAGTGGGCGGCGGTCTAGCCTGACTCCCCCGCCCCCCCCGCCCCTTTCCCCGTCTGCGGTCACTTCAATTCCCCACCCCACCCAACAAAACACAACGGAGAGCTGTGCCAAATCCATAAGCCAAAAACATCCTGCACCCGAACCCCTATACAACCCAAAGAACATAAGGCAAACAAAAACCAAAGTTGGAAAGTACCTAAGCCCTGTTGGAGATTCCTGCAAAACCCTAGGCCCTAAAACCCAAGAGGCCCCAAATTCTAACCCCGAGCCTCAAACCCTAAACCCTAAACCCCACACCCTACACCCTAAACCCTAACCCCTAAACCCTAAACGCTAAGCCCTAAACCCTAACCCTAAACCCCAAACCCACAGAAAGGCCCCGAACCCTAAATTTCACGACTCCCGGGGTGACGGCTCAGGCGCAGACTCTGGGGGTGACAGCTCCTCGGTGAAGGACAATCTTCGGATGTCAGGGTGTAGGAGTTTAGGGTTTAGGGTCTTTAGGGTCAGAAGTTTAGGGTTTGGGGGTGCAGGTTGTATGTTTTTTTTTTTTTTAAAGGGGTTTTAGGTTGTATAGAAGTTTAGGGTTTAGGGTGTAGAAGTGTACGGTTTAGGGTTAATTATTGGCAACCCAAGAACCAAGGCCGAAGCGTCTTAAAGATTGCATTTTGTGCTGTGGCTTCTTTAATAAGAGCGTTTGTTGCGTAGGTTTGCTTGAGCTTGGGTTTAATGTTGGGTTGACCAAATTCGGTACCTTATATCATCCTTAACACGTATATAGATATATAGGGATGTCGGGTACCCAAGTCCCTAGCTCCCTGCTGAGATGAAGCAGCAAGTTTACGTGCTTCGGTATCTAGCAGCGGCAGGATCAGCTGTTCGACGTGCAAGAGATTGCTGGCGGTGGCCTTGCTTTTGCCGCGCTGCGGAGCGATGGAACGGTGCCTTAGAGGCGTTTTTCGGGCCGACTGAGCATCGAGGGTGCATGTGCTACAAGCACTATAAACCCTCAGGCCTGAACCGTGAAATCCGTACATGCATGTATATATATATATGTGTGTATGTATGTGTATGTATCCCTCCTCACTGCATCGGCAACAAGAAGTAGCATTTCCCGGAAGGTCCATAGCCTTGAGCACTTCTTGGGACAAAGCGTATTACAACTTAGGGTTTAGGGTTTAGGGTTTAGGGTTTAGGGTTTCGGGTTTAGGGTTTAGGGTTTAGGGGCCAAGTTGGCAGGTTTTTTTGGTGTTTGATCCATGGCATCCCCAGGTCATCACGTGGGGAGAGCCCGACCATGGTGGCGACAGCAGCCGTGTCAGGAAGCAGCTACGAGCTGTACATGAGTGCGTGCCGAAATGAGGGCTCTTTGCAAAGCTCTCTCCCCTCGGCCCCACAAAAAAAGCAACAAAAACAGACGTACAAAACAACATACGTAAAAGAAGTAGCCTTTAAGACGAGAGTTCAAAAGACCCTCTGAACTCAAAACCCAAAACCCAGCAAGAGCTTTCAGTGCAGAAAACTGACCCTCCGGCGGGGCCACTGGTGTTTAGGTAAAGTTTAGTTTCAGGGTGTCTTTGGGGTGTATAGGTTCCGGAGCAAAAACCTGTTAGGCCCCGAAACCTGAGCAATCCTAAAGCCTGTGAACTTTTCAGAATCCCTGAAAACGTCAACCTTACACTTCATTAAATCCCAAACCCAACCCTGAACCCGAAACCACCACTTGGGAACAACCCTAAAACGCCTAAAGCTCTTGAACTGGGATTTTGGGGCTGCTTCGGAACCCAAAACCCTGAGCCCTGAACCCTAAACCCTGAACCCTGAACCCTAAACCCTAAACCCTGAACCCCTGAGCCCATTTCAGCTTGTTGACCCCGAAGGCACAGACTGCAGCTTTTCCCGGCCAGCACCGTGATACAGGCGGGGGTCCTTGAGAACGGACTAGAGGCTTTAGGGCTTGTAGGCGGTTTAGGGTTTAGGGTTTGCGGCTCAGGGTTTAGGGTTTAGGGTTTAGGGCTTAGGGTTTAGGGTTTAGGGTTTAGGGTTAAGGGTTTATTGGGTGCAAGGTGTGGAAGTTTGTGCTTGTTCGGCCTTTGAATTGGGGATATGGCGCGAGGGTCCCTCGAAGCAGCTGCATGACCCCTTCCCAGAAGTAGACCCAGCTCTCTGTCAGGCCACTGCGGGGCACAGATGTACGCTCCAGGCAGCGATTTTGTTGGGGGAGGGCTTGGGCTGTGGATGCTAGGGTTAGGATTTCGGGCTCAGGGTAACCCTAAACCCTAAACCCTAAACCCTAAACCCTAAACCCTAAAACCCTAAACCCGAGACCCCCAGCCTCAGTTCCTATAGGTTGAACCGCCCAAAGCTGGCAGTGATCCCGCAGGACGTAGGGTTGCATGGCTTGTTCTCCAACTTCGGGGGTGTTTAGGGTTTCAAAGGAACCCTAAACCCTGAACCCTGAACCCTAAACCCTAAACCCTAAACCCTAAACCCTAAACCCGATTATCAACCCTAAGCCCTGCCCCCTTGAGGATGTCGTTTCACGACGCCTGAAGTCACAGGACCCCCGAAATCAAAAACCTTACACCGCCCCCTCCCCCCCCCCCCCCCGAGCCGGTAAAACCATAAAGCGCTCCCTAAACCCTAAACCCTAAACCTTATAAACCCTATAAACCCTAAACCCTAAACCCTAAACCCCTCAAAGCCTGAACGCCTGAAGCCCTGCAAAGTCTGAAAGCTCCGAAGATCTTCAGCCTACTTCGAACCCTAAACCCTAAACCCTAAACCCTAAACCCAGAAGAGTCGCAGCAGTGCTTGGCTCTATCTCCAGGAACCAAGCTGCCAGCAGGCGACTGCATGGTTCTCAGCGTCAGATTCGATGCACAGCAGACATGAAGCCTCAGCCCCTGGGGTACCCTTTTGGGGTGGAGGTTCCCCTCTAAAACAACCAACCCCCCCTTAGATTCAAGCCCGCCACCAGCATTTCGGAGGTCAGTGAGGGCATTTTGGACTAAATCCAAATTCCTAAATGCTAAGCCCTAATCTTGAACCCTACACCCTGTATACATCCTAAACCCAAAACCCCGAGCCCTAAATCCCGCCGCCCACAAGACCAGGCTCAGAGGTTGCGCCCGGCACACCATCCCATAGATGATCCTCCGAGACGAAGTAGGAATAGGGGTCAGGGGTTAGGGTCCATTACTACTGTTGCTTTTGCTATTCCAACTATTACTATTGTTACGATTACGATGACTATTACTACTACTATTACTGTTATTACGATCATTGTTACTACTATTGCTGTTATTACTACTACTGTTATTGCGATTATTGAAGTCTGCACCTCGCCAGGAGTTGAGAAATTTCAGGGTTTAGGGTTTAGGGGAAGTGTAGTGTGGTAGGTTCAGCAATCGCAGCAACTACAGGAATAATCCTCGGCCTCATGCTCAATGGCACGGTTTATTTGCGCAAGGGAGGCAGACGGAAGCTTCATGAAGTTTGGCTACGTATGGTCCAACGTTTGGGGATAAAGGTTTAGGGTGTAGGATACTTAACAAGCATGCGAGGAAGATCTAGTTGGCCCCACGGCGCTGTCCTTTTGTTCAGTGTGAACGGTGTGAACCTTCCCAGCTCCTTCTGCACCCGAAACTCACATTCCCTGCCTGAGCCCTTGCCATCTGAGCCCTCAAAGCCCTAACCCCGCGTGCTCTTTGAGCACTATGTGGTAGAGTAGAGTTAAATTTTCAATGTTATGGATAAGTTTGGCATTCTCGTACAGTCTCGTTTAGTTAGGTATACTTAGTATATTACAGTACCATCGCCAGAACTCTACAGTATCACCCCCCCCCTCCCCCTCCCCAGGTACTGTAGTGTACCATGCTTCAGTCTACTGAGTTATTGCACTACAGCGAGGGTTTAGGGTGTAGGGCTAAGTCGAAGCAAACCTTGTAGCTCGAGATGCCAAAGACTTAGATCAACTCCCACATGGATTTCAAAGATGAGCTGTACCCATGATCACCCATTCCAGAAACTCTAGACCCTAACCCCTAAAACCCTAAACCCTCAACCCTAGCCCTAAAGCCTAAATAAACACTCCTAAACCCTATAACCCTCAAGGTGACGCCCTGGCCTCCCGGGTGAGGCGGCTCTGCGTCTGTCGCAAGAGCTTGGGCACGGAGCTCCTCGGCAGAGCTAGGGTTTACAGTAGGGTTTTGGGTTTAGGGTGAACATCCTGCACCCTAGTTTGGGGTTGAGGGTTTAGGGCAGTCCTGCCTACTACACCTTAAACTCTACAGTAAACCCTGCTTAAGGGCTCAACATCAGCCAACAAATCCTGAGATGCTTATGTCGTTGGCCTCCAAAAAATATCCTTTACAAGCTTCCAACCCCTAAACCCTAAGCCCTAAACCCTAAACCCTAAACCCGAAACCCTAAACCCTAAACCCTAAACCCTAAGGCGCTTCAAGCCTGAGGGCAAGCTGACAGTCCGAGGTCCGGGCCGGGCGGGCCAGTGCGGCTCCTCAGTCCTGGGCGGCACTTCGCGCAGCTCGGCGAGTTTTTGGGGTTTAGGGTTTAGGGTTTTAGGGTTTAGGGTTTAGGGTTAGGGTTTAGGGTTTAGGGTTTAGGGTTTAGGGTTTAGGGTTTAGAGTTTAGGGTTTAGAGTTTAGGGTTTAGGGTTTAGGGTTTAGGGTTTAGGGTTTAGGGTTTAGGGTTTAGGGTACCCTAAGGGTCCATGTACCTAAATAGGGAAAGTTTGGGCCTTAAAGTGTTAGGGTTTAGGGTTAGGGTTTAGGGTTTAGGGTACCCTAAGGGTCCATGTACCTAAATAGGGAAAGTTTGGGCCTTAAAGTGTTAGGGTTTAGGGTTTAGGGTTTAGGGTACCCTACGGGTCCATGTACCTAAATAGGGAAAGTTTGGGCCTTAAAGTGTTAGGGTTTAGGGTTTAGGGTTTAGGGTACCCTACGGGTCCATGTACCTAAATAGGGAAAGTTTGGGCCAGGGTTTAGGGTACCCTAAGGGTCCATGTACCTAAATAGGGAAAGTTTGGGCCTTAAAGTACTTCCTATTTCTGGACTTTGGGGCCCAAACATAAAATAATAAGGTACATGGACCCTTATAGGGGTAGGGCTTACAACAGTTTAGTGTTTAGGGTCTAGGGCTTAGAACACTTTGGAGTTTAGGGTTTAGGGGGTATATAGCAGTTTAGTGCTTAGGGTTTACTGCTTATTTAGCAGTTTGGTGTTTAGGGTTTAGGGGTTATATAATAGCTTCGTGTTCAGGCTGTAGGGCTTATTGAACACTTTGGTGTTTCTCGTGGGGCTTGGGCCAGGGCATCCTATGCATGGGCGCGTCATCCTCCACCCCTAAAGACTCCAAGGGTAGGAGGCAGTCATCAGGCAGACCCTCCTGCACTTGCTGTTTTCCGATTCTGTCATTCCTACTGGTTGACTCTCCCTAACCCGTGGCACCCCAAAATACCAGAAACCCTGAAGCCTAAAAATCCTGAACACCCGAAACGGCCTTGCCAAAGCCCAAGTACCCTAAATACACTCAACCCTACTCTATTGGTGCACACTAAGTGCCTAAACCCTGACCGCGCTCAATACCCTATGCACCATAACCCTAAACCCCCCCAAATACCCCCAAACGCCCTGGATGTCCCAACGGCCCTAGGCACCCGAAGCCCCCAAGTACCCTGAGTAGTAAACGCCCGGAATTCTAAATACGCCGAAAACCTTGCTTACACCAAGCACCCTAGATGCCCTAAACACCTTAAACCTAAACCCCAAACCCTAAACCCCCAATCCCAAACCCTAAGCCCCCAATCCCAAACCCTAAACCCCCAACCCTAAAACCCTAAACCGACACCAGCTTCTTTGTTTCCGACTTTGGTTCCCTGAGTCCCAGTGCCTGGAGTTCACCAAACGACCACGAACTTTGCCAGCCAAGGGTTGAGGGTTTCTCCTACCCCCAACTGACACTGAACCCTGAACCCTAAACCCTAAACCCAAAAACCCTGAGCCCAAGAGTTAGAACCAGAAGTGTGTGCCTGAGGCGCGAGTCAAGCAACACAGACAGCGGTGCAGTGGCGCCTGGTCCTTTGCTCCCTTTGCAAGGATCAGCCGCCCTGCTTCCCAAGCTCCGGTTTAGGGTTTAGGGTTTAGGGTTTAGGATGTAGGGTTTAGGGTATCCGGGTATCCGGGTTTCGGATTTAGGGGCTTAGGGTTTAGAGGTTTAGGGGTTTAGGGGTTCAGGGGTTGGTGGCTTAGGGGTTTAGGGCTGTAGGGTTTGCAGGTTTAGGGGTTTGGGGGTTTGGGGGTTTCGGGTTTAGGGGTTTAGTGGTTCAGGGGTTTAGGGTTTAGGGGTTTAGGGGTTTCGGGTTTAATTAGGGGTTTGGGGCTTATAGGGTTTATCGGTTTAAGGGTTTATAGGGTTTTTAGGGTTCGGGTCTAGGGGTTTTGGAGGGGGTTCAGGGTATAAGGTTGATGTTAGGATTCCGAGTCTCGAGGGGTTTGCTGCGGAGCACCCAAAACCCGAAACCCCAAACCCTACTAAACCACCCCAAACCCTAAACCCCAAACCCTAGACCCTTAACCCTTAAACCCCAAACCCCAAACCCTAAACCCTAAACCTCAACGTATAAACTCCATAAAGGTCTGCGGAGCGCCTTGCGGCCTTCGCCGCGGCGGTGGCACGGGAGAGGCCGCGCGATTCTTGCAACTGACTTGGGGTTTAGGGTTTAAGGTTTATAGGGTTATAGGGTTATAGGGTTTAGGGTTTATAGGGTTATAGGGTTATAGGGGGGTTTAGGGTTTAGGGTTTTCGTGGAAGTTCTCCATGCGGGGTCAAGGAGACAGGATTTAGGGGTTCAGGGCTTCATGTTCCAATGTTCTTAAGCACTGTTTCGTACTCTCACGCACCGATACCGCAAGACCCTAAAGCCCTATACAGGATGAAGCGGTCAGGTCCCAGACCCACAAGCTTTGCTTGGGGTCCCTTGAGGCTTCAGTGCAGAGGTTTCGCCTAGAGGCTTGTACATCTTATTTGGTACGTAAGTTTTAGTCTGAAATCAGGTCCCCCAAAAAAAGGCCGTGGGTGTGTTTTTTCCTCGGTGTGTTCTGGGAGAGGCTGGGGTGCAACTTGGGCTCAGCATTCCGCGAAGCGGTTTCTGCGCTCGGCCCTGCCGGTCAACCTCCCCTTTTAAAATCTATGTAGTCTCTAAGTAACCCCAAACCCCAAACCCTCAACCGCAGGATTTTGATTCCCAGCCGGTTCCTTGCTCCTCCCTTCGACTCACCGCTCGGCCCTTGTGCAGCCATGGCCAACCCCGCCTTGACGGAAGGTGCCGTGAGCCCTGGAGCAGTGGCTTGGGTGTTGACCTCCACAGCCTTGGTCTTCCTGATGACGGCCGGGCCTTTACCCTCCTCTCCACTCTTCCGTTGTGTAGGTCCGCTGAAGTAGACATGAAATTCGGTAACGCCTCACTCTCAATGTGTCGCGAAGCAGCGGCAGGTGAGTCCATAAGCACTGAAGGGCATAGAGTCCGGTATAGAGGTTGTTGCAGATGCCGAGCCTGCGCCAGGCTGGGCTGGGGTTCTTCTACGGGGGCTTGGTCCGGGACACGAACATCATCAACACGATGATGATGAGCGTGGTGTCCATGGGCATCTAGGACGCAGAGTAGGCCCTATACTCTCTCTTTTTTGAGTATTTTCGGTTCCCTCATAAGCCCCTTTGAAAGCCAAAAAGGGCGCCCTTTTCATTCGCAGGCTACTCCTGGGCGAGTTTAGGGTTTAGGGTTTAGGGTTTGGGGTTTGGGGTTTAGGGTTTAGGGTTTAGGGTTTAGGGGACCCTTTTGGCCTAGGCATCGTGACGATCACCTGGGTAGTCTTCGGCTTCTCCTGGGCCTTCGGGGACAACGGCCCGGTGATTGGCAACTTCGACTACGCGCTCTTCATGGACCTCGACATGAAGATGTGGGGCGACTCCGGCCTGCCTGGCCTCGCCTTCGCCTCCTTCCAGGCCGTGGGGTTTAGGGTCTAGGGTTTAGGGTCCCATGCACCGAAAGTTTCTAGTCCAGTCCACTGCAGGTCTCCATTTCTGGGTTTGGAAAGCACGGCCAGCAGACAGTCAGAGACACACACACACACACACACGCTCTCTCTCTGTCTCACACACACAAGACAGCCATCCAAAACGTTGGCTCAGATGACCTTCGCGATCATCGCCAGTGCCATCATCTCGGGTTCCTTGGTGGAGCGCATGCGCTTCAGCGCCTACGCCGTGCTCCTGACCCTGTGGCCTCCTGTCTCTCGAAGTGGGTCGTAGTCAAATAAGTTGAAAGGCTTCCTGACGATGTTCCAAAAGTATACCATCGAGCAAAACTTTCTCCCTAACTTCATGCGTGATACATGTGTACAAAAAGGTGTGTGTGTGTGTGTGTCTATATGTATATATAATATACATACATACGTATGGGAGCCCTCCCATTTCAGGTTCCCGCACGAAAATGCTTCTTGCTTGTAACCACACGAACGATCTGATGACTGACCAGGGTCAATAGCTTGCTGTTGTATGCTGGTCACGCCTTGCGCGCACGTGCGGGTTGAGCTGTCAAGCATGAGGTCGCTCCTGATCTACGCTCCCCTGTGCCACTGGGTGTGGGGTCCCGGTGGCTGGATCGCGGAGATGGGCGCGCTGGACTTTGCCGGGGGCACCGCCCCTGGGCGTGCGATTGGGGTTGAGCTCCCTCCCAGTCAGTCAGCTTGAATTTCCCACCTTGATTCAACCCTAGAAACCCTGACCCTCTTGAGCCTTAACTCTAGAACCCTAAGCCCTAAACCCTAAACCCTAAACCTTAACCCTTTTATATAAGAAGGTCAGAAAAGCAAGAGGCATTAGCGAAAGTGTTGATCTTGTGCAGGTGGTCCACATCAGCTCCGGTGTCTCCGGCTACGTGGCCGGCGGCATCGTGGGCCCGCGCCGGCACGTTGAGAAGCAGCTGGGCCCCGCGAACGCGCCCTTCGTGATCTTGGGGGCTTCCCTCCTCTGGTTCGGCTGGCTGGGCTTCAATGGCGGCTCGGCGCTGGGTGTCTCGGATGGCGTGGCTGCTCGTGCCGTGGCCACCACCCTGATTGCTGCTGCCAGCTCCATGCTGTCCTGGCTGGTCATCGAACGGGTCATTCAGGGAAAGCCCAGCAGCGTGGGCGCGGCGGTGGGCGCGGTCGCAGGGCTCGTGTGCATCACGCCAGCCGCCGGCTTTGTGACACCCGGCTGGAGCATCGCCGTTGGCGTGCTGGGGGCACCTTGGTGCTACATGTCCGTGGCTCTCCTCAACAAGATGACTTACGTGGACGACACCCTGGACGCCTTTGGCTTGCATGGCATGGGCGGCATTGCTGGGGCCATCCTCACAGGCATCTTCGCTGTGGATGATGGCCTCGTCTACTCCGGCAGCTTCACGTTGCTGGGCAAGCAAATCGCTGGGGCCCTAGCCGGCGTTGCCTTCTCGGCAGCTGGCACTGCCGTCATCGTGCTGGCGATGCGGCTCTTCATGAAGCTCCGTGTGCCCGAAGACCAGGAGTTCAGCGGAGTGGACGAGCACACGCACGGCGAGACCTTCGCCATCCGCAGCCCCTTCAAGCAGAACACCTCCGCGGAGCACACGGAGAGCAGCGAAGCCTCGGACGCGTGAGAGTCATGTGAGGCCCCCGCAGTCTTTCGACGTATATATCACTGACAGCCATTTTCCTCATGACAAAGCTTGCTGTCGGACTGATACGAGGAACTTTTACAGTTTTGTGCCATTCCGCCGCATCGTCGGCGCATGTTGGAGACATGTCTTCCCATTTGCACGGGAGCATCTCCCAAGAGGTGTGCCTTGACTCCCGTGCCAGCTGAGATTTCCTAATAAAACAAGTATAGACTCTTACCCACCAAGGCTGCTCGCGCATGGGCTGGAGGCCAAAATGGAAGGCTTCTACCCGCTTGAGATTTCTGAAAGCCAACGTCACAAAGAGGCTTCCTTCCATATCTTGCAATTCAATCAAAGCTGCAATCAGTATTATATCTATGTCAATGTATATATATATATGCTTCATCATTAACATCTACGCTTAGCTCTCGCCCTCCATGAACCCTTGAATGGGTTGGTCTGGCCAACAACTTGTCTTTGACCACTATTTGCTTAAGAGCCCCCGCAAGATGCAACATAGTAATCTGCTCTTATAAGGAAGAATATTGTTGTTTTTTTTTTTGGGGGGGGGTTGCGCTTAAGCAAATAGAAATTGAAGAGGGGAGCGGACTCCTTTGAAGACATCGCGCCTCAAGTCTGTTTAAGTCACCAGCCTTGTCTTTATCAAGGGGCCGTACCAGAGAGGTCGGAACATGAAGCCCCAAACCCTAGAACTTATAAGTTAGGATTTAGGGTTTAGGGTTTGGTGGCAGTTCTTCAGGCGGGGTCAAGGAGACAGGGTTTAGGGGTTCATAAAGGGCTTGGGGCTCAGGGCTTCATATTCCCAGGCAAGGTTCCGTTTTTGAAAGCAGGTTTTCTGGGAGAGGCTGGGGTGCAACTTGGGCTCAGCATTCCGCGAAGCGGTTTCTGCGCTCGGCCCTGCCGGTCAACCTCCCCTTTTAAAATCTATATAGTCTCTAAGTAACCCTAAACCCTAAACCCTCAACCGCAGGATTTTGATTCCCAGCCGGTTCCTTGCTCCTCCCTTCGACTCACCGCTCGGCCCTTGTGCAGCCATGGCCAACCCCGCCTTGACGGAAGGTGCCGTGAGCGCTGGAGCAGTGGCTTGGGTGTTGACCTCAACAGCCTTGGTCTTCCTGATGACGGCCGGGCCTTTTCTTTACCCTCCTCTCCACTCTTCCGTTGTGTAGGTCCGCTGAAGTAGACATGAAATTCGGTAACGCCTCACTCTCAATGTGTCGCGAACCAGCGGCAGGTGAGTCCGTAAGCACTGAAGGGTATAGAGTCCGGTATAGAGGTTGTTGCAGATGCCGAGCCTGCGCCAGGCTGGGCTGGGGTTCTTCTACGGGGGCTTGGTCCGGGACACGAACATCATCAACACGATGATGATGAGCGTGGTGTCCATGGGCATCTAGGACACAGAGTAGGCCCTATACTCTCTCTTTTTTAGTATGTTAGGTTCACTCATAAGCCCCTTTGAAAACCAAAAAGGGTGCCCTTTCATTCGCAGGCTACTCCTGGGTTTAGGGTTTAGGGTTTAGGGTTTATAGGGTTTAGGGTTTAGGGTTTAGGGTTTAGGGTTTAGGGTTTAGGGTTTAGGGTTTAGGGTTTAGGGTTTAGGGTTTAGGGTTTAGGGTTTAGGGGACTCTTTTGGCCTAGGCATCGTGACGATCACCTGGGTGGTCTTCGGCTTCTCCTGGGCCTTCGGGGACAACGGCCCGGTGATTGGCAACTTCGACTACGCGCTCTTCATGGACCTGGACATGAAGATGTGGGGCGACTCCGGCCTGCCTGGGCTCGCCTTCGCCTCCTTCCAGGCCGTAGGGTTTAGGGTTTAGGGTCCCATGCACCGAAAGTTTCTAGTCTAAACCACTGCAGGTCTCCATTTCTGGGTTTGGAAAGCACGGCCAGCAGACAGACACACACACACACACACTCTCTCTCTCTCTCTCTCTCTGTCTCTCTCTATCTCTCTCTCTCTCTCTCTCTCTCTCTCTCCTCTCTCTCTGTCTCACACACACACAAGAGTGCCATCCGACACGTTGGCTCAGATGACCTTCGCGATCATCGCCAGTGCCATCATCTCGGGTTCCTTGGTGGAGCGCATGCGCTTCAGCGCCTACGCCGTGCTCCTGACCCTGTGGCCTCCCGTCTCTCGAAGTGGGGTCGTCGTCAAATAAGTTTCAAAGGCTCCTGACGATGTTCCAAAAGTATACCATACAGAGCAAAACTCTCTCCCCAAACTCATGCATCAATTGCCACATATTATATGCATATGTGTATAAAGAGAGAGGAGTATCTATGTATATATATATATGTACAAAATGCATGGGAGCCCTCCCATTTCGGTGCCCTTGAGCTGTCAAGCGTGAGGTCGCTCCTGATCTACGCTCCCCTGTGCCACTGGGTGTGGGGTCCCGGTGGCTGGATCGCGGAGATGGGCGCGCTGGACTTTGCCGGGGGCACCGCCCCTGGGCGTGCGATTGGGGTTGAGCTCCCTCCCAGTCAGTCAGCTTGAATTTCCCACCTTGATTCAACCCTAGAAACCCTGACCCTCTTGAGCCTTAACTCTAGAACCCTAAGCCCTATAAAGCCTAAACCGAACTCCTAAACCCTTATATAAGAAGGTCAGAAAAGCAAGAGGCATTAGCGAAAGTGTTGATCTTGTGCAGGTGGTCCACATCAGCTCCGGTGTCTCCGGCTACGTGGCCGGCGGCATCGTGGGCCCGCGCCGGCACGTTGAGAAGCAGCTGGGCCCCGCGAACGCGCCCTTCGTGATCTTGGGGGCTTCCCTCCTCTGGTTCGGCTGGCTGGGCTTCAATGGCGGCTCGGCACTGGGTGTCTCGGATGGCGTGGCTGCTCGTGCCGTGGCCACCACCCTGATTGCTGCTGCCAGCTCCATGCTGTCCTGGCTGGTCATCGAACGGGTCATTCAGGGAAAGCCCAGCAGCGTGGGCGCGGCGGTGGGCGCGGTCGCAGGGCTCGTGTGCATCACGCCAGCCGCCGGCTTTGTGACACCCGGCTGGAGCATCGCCGTTGGCGTGCTGGGGGCACCTTGGTGCTACATGTCCGTGGCTCTCCTCAACAAGATGACTTACGTGGACGACACCCTGGACGCCTTTGGCTTGCATGGCATGGGCGGCATTGCAGGGGCCATCCTCACAGGCATCTTCGCTGTGGATGATGGCCTCGTCTACTCCGGCAGCTTCACGTTGCTGGGCAAGCAAATTGCTGGGGCCCTAGCCGGCGTTGCCTTCTCGGCAGCTGGCACTGCCGTCATCGTGCTGGCGATGCGGCTCTTCATGAAGCTCCGTGTGCCCGAAGACCAGGAGTTCAGCGGAGTGGACGAGCACACGCACGGCGAGACCTTCGCCATCCGCAGCCCCTTCAAGCAGAACACCTCCGCGGAGCACACGGAGAGCAGCGAAGCCTCGGACGCGTGAGAGTCATGTGAGGCCCCCGCAGTCTTTCGACGTATATATCACTGACAGCCATTTTCCTCATGACAAAGCTTGCTGTCGGACTGATACGAGGAACTTTTACAGTTTTGTGCCATTCCGCCGCATCGTCGGCGCATGTTGGAGACATGTCTTCCCATTTGCACGGGAGCATCTCCCAAGAGGTGTGCCTTGACTCCCGTGCCATGTGAGATTTCCTACTAAAAAGTATAGACTCTTACCCACCAACGCTGCTCGCGCATGGGCTGGAGGCCAAAATGGAAGGCTTCTACCCGCTTGAGGGTTCTGAAAGCCAACGTCACAAAGAGGCTTCCTTCCATATCTTGCAATTCAATCAAAGCTGCAATCAGTATTATATCTATGTATAATATATATATATATATATATATTCGCTTCATCATTAACATCTACGCTTAGCTCTCGCCCTCCATGAACCCTTGAATGGGTTGGTCTGGCCAAAAACATGTCTTTGACCACTATCTGCTTAAGAACCCCCCACAAAGTCCAACATAGGAATCTGCTCTTATTCGGAAGAATTTTGTTTGTTTTTTTAGGGGGGGGGGGGGTTGCGCTTAAGCAAATAGAAATTGAAGAGGGGACCGGACTACCTCTGCAGACATCGCGCCTCAAGTCAGTTTAAGTCACCAGCCTTGTCTTTATCAAGGGGCCGTACCAGAGAGGTCGGAACATGAAGCCCCAAACCCTAGAACTTATAAGTTAGGATTTAGGGTTTAGGGTTTGGTTGAAGTTCTTCAGGCGGGGTCAAGGAGACAGGGTTTAGGGGTTCATAAAGGGCTTGGGGCTCAGGGCTTCATATTCCCAGGCAAGGTTCCGTTTTTCAAAGCAGGTTTTCTGGGAGAGGCTGGGGTGCCACTTGGGCTCAGCATTCCGCGAAGCGGTTAATCTGCGCTCGGCCCTGCCGGTCAACCTCCCCTTTTAAAACCTATTGTCTCTAAGTAACCCTAAACCCCAAACCCTCAACCGCAGGATTTTGATTCCCAGCCGGTTCCCTGCTCCTCCCTTCGACTCACCGCTCGGCCCTTGTGCAGCCATGGCCAACCCCGCCTTGACGGAAGGTGCCGTGAGCGCTGGAGCAGTGGCTTGGGTGTTGACCTCAACAGCCTTGGTCTTCCTGATGACGGCCGGGCTTCTTGTCACCCTCCTCTCCACTCTTCCGTTGTGTAGGTCCGCTGAAGTAGACATTCAATTCGGTAACGCCTCACTCTCAATGTGTCGCGAAGCAGCGGCAGGTGAGCCCATAAGCACTGAAGGGTATAGAGTCCGGTATAGAGGTTGTTGCAGATGCCGAGCCTGCGCCAGGCTGGGCTGGGGTTCTTCTACGGGGGCTTGGTCCGGGACACGAACATCATCAACACGATGATGATGAGCGTGGTGTCCATGGGCATCTAGGACACAGAGTAGGCCCCATACTCTCTCTTTTTTGAGTATTTTGGTTCCCTCATAAGCCCCTTTGAAAGCCAAAAAGGGCGCCCTTTTCATTCGCAGGCTACTCCTGGGCGAGTTTAGGGTTTAGGGTTTAGG